TAAAAAAGTAGATCAGAGCTAAAAAAATGCAAAAACGCAGGCAAATTTGTCTGTGTTGGCCTACAATCTAAGGGATAATAAGATAAAAGCACTTCTTTTAAATATTAGTAATGTAAATTTGTATCAAAGAACATTTATAATAAAAAAAATTTATACATTACTTATGAGAATAGAAATAAAAAAATCTAAGCAATAATATGTAATGCAAGTGCAATTTCAAGTTTAACTAACAACCAGACTCAAGATATTAAAAATTGCTTTTCTAAAAATTTAAATGCAGATATCTTTTATTTAAATGTTAAAAAATAATTGGCATTACAAATTGTAATACACATATAATTGAACAATCTAATTTAAATAATTTAACAACTATAGTAAATAATGAAATCAATAAAACTTTACTGAAAACAGTAATAAATACTATAACTATTTTCTCTATCCTATTAACTCATACTTCTACTTACTTTGTGACTGCCTCTGGCAATTCAGAAGATATGATAAGTAAAAATGATGAATCTTTATTAAAAAACTAAGATATGTATATATAATAATTTTTTAGATTCTAATTCAGAACTTTCTGATAGTAATAATGAAAATTTATCTGATAATAATAAATATAGTTTTAATAAAAATATTATATTTTCTAATGATAAGAATTATTATTATAAATTAAGTATCAAAGTTGGCTTCTTACAAAATAAAATCAAAACATATCAATATATAGTATAAGTTAATCTGATTTTGGTTAAGTACTAATTTCAAAAAAAATGAAAAATAGTACTTTAAAATTGTGCATTGTTTTACAAATAAATTATGCATGATAAGCCTTACTAGATAATACAGATAAATTTTACATATAAAATTATTACCAATTAATATGAACAAATTATAACAGTATAATAATAATGATAAATTTTGTTTAAACTATTATTATTGCTTATTCAGATTTATTTTTATTTAATAACATTAATTATTCAAGAATTTTAAAATTCAATAAAAATAATAACTATAGTTCTATCATATATATAATCACTTGAAATTTATAACATATGAGAGTGTTCTGAGCTGAAACAGTATCATATGCCATATTATATTATATGATGCAGTAGATTATGTTTATTAGCATTAAATTCTCAAGAATTACACAAAAATTTTTTATAATATATGAGATTTCATCTTTAGTTAAATCAGAAAAACTGATGCAATAAAAGATCTAATATTCTTCTAGCTGTATTTGTTCTTTTACATATCATAGCATCTTTAGTTTCTTTTAAAAGCATTTTTTTAACTTTTTTATATAACTTTGTATATGCTGTCTGTAGGAGGTTGTTCTTTAGCAATACAGCAACTCATTTTGATAGAACTCTTTCAAATTGAAAGTACTATTGAACTACCTTTTAGTTCTCTTGATCTCTTTTTTTTTCTAGCAATATTAACATCATAATATAGTTTATAGAATTGATTAGATATTTTACCAATATTAGCAGTTTCAGGTGAAATACTAATTAATGATCTACTGCTAGTTAAAGCAACAAATAACTCTTGAATAATTGTTTTTGGTTTTGTGACCCTTTTAGGTTTACTTTTATAAGTATCTTCTTCTTGCATCTTTTTTTTTTCTTAGATGTTTCATTAATTAAAACAGTAAGCAAGATATAAGATTCTTCTTTTTTTAGATTTTTAATAGATGGATATTCGAAACATAGCTTACGCTTATTGTTAACATATTCGAAATGCATAATGTAGTTATATAGTAATAATATGACTGGCTCCAAAATTTCTGAGAAGATTACTTCAGAATACTTAGAACAATTTCTGAGTTCAATCTGTAAGATATTTTTGGTTTTGATAAGATTTACATAATTTGAATATAATATTGAATTATATAATAAGGTAGGGTTAAAAATAATAGTTGTATCTAAAGTTACTGTATTCTGGTTTTGACTAGATGCCATTTCTAATGAAATTTGCATTAGGTCTAAAGTACTTTGCTCAAAAATGCCAGAATAATCAATAGGTTTAATTTCTATTGCATATTTAGGACATTGTAAAAAATCTTTTATATAACTCTCAAGACAACTACATTGGTATATATGTTTACAGATGAGTGAGATAAATAGTTTTTTAAGTTTATACAAAAAAAGCTCTTCTTTACACTTTGAGCATAGATCTAATTTTAGAACTTTAACATCTTCTGCAATAACTTCTGAAAAGATATTCTTAAGAATATTTAAAGCAAGGTTTTTAAGACATAAAACATTTTAAGGCATTGAGTTAGTAGACATCCTGCTTCTTGCAATACTACTGACTTTTTGCAATACTGCTCAAAGTCAGAAAATAAAGATATCTTTTTTTAAGAGTGTTGTAAAAAGGCTTGTAAAAAAAAATTTATAGATAAATAAGTATTACAATTAATTATATACAGTACTTTGCTTATTTTTATAGATTAAATACTTTAGAAACTAATAAAGTTAATTTGTAGATTTTATAAAAACCAATTTTGGATTTGACAATCTGTTTATTTATAAATTAATTATTATAAGTAAGATGCTTAATCTTTTATAGATAATCATAGATAATTTTAGCTAAAAACTTATTTAGAATTTGGTAATCTGTTTATTCAGAATTATTTAATATAAGCCAGAATTAATTAATCTATTAGCAATTCTCAAGTTTATAGCATTTGGATAATATTATTCTTAAGCATGTTTTACAAATATTCCATCAGATTGATAAAGTTATTTAATTATTATATGCTGGATTATTTTAGCTGAATTTATTCATTTTTGTCATAAATAATATCTTTGCTGAATAATAGTTGCTAATCGATTTTTTTTATACAAAGTTACAAAATATATTATTTGGGTTTTAAATTCTCAAAATTCAGAGTTATTAGCTATAAATTTATTTCTAGTTAAATTATTTTTAATATAAAATACAAAGTTTCTTCAATAAATCTTTCTATTAATATCATATTCTAGTATTAATAAACATCTTTGTATATATTTGGATGGATGTTACTTTGCAAATCATAACCAAGCTTCTGGTGTTTTTAAATTACTAATATAGTTTAAGTCATATTCAAATAACATGTATCAGGTATAGCTATTTTTTTCTTATTTCTCAAAAATATTTTAAATATTATGTATATTTAACATATAGATTTTATTAACTAAGACTTTTATTTAATAAGAATAAGCCAAGAACTGATTGATCTATTGGTAATTGTGAATAATTAGTAAAGAAAAGAGGACATACACTTTATAGATTTTTATTTTCCAATTTATAAGAAAAAAACTTGGAATAGTATTAGAAAAACAGTGAACAACTTAAGTCTCACATATATAAGGGCTTAGTGAAAATTCTCCAAACTAAAGATTATTATTTTGAATTAGTTAAATAAAGACTAATTAAATTAAATTTCTTTTAGGTTTCACTTTCTTAATTTTCTTTGGTCACATCTTTCTTTGTTACTTATAAGAAACAGCCTTTTATTCTCTTACTTCAATTATCTTAACTAAATCAGATTCTTCAGATATCTTAGATGAGTAGAAGAAGCTCTTACCTTTTCTTTTATTAATTAATGAAAAAAGAATTATTTCATATATTAAATCAACTACAGTGTTTCTATCTACATATTTATCCATATTTTCTAATTCAATTTTTGGGTTCTTACATCTCTTTTTAATCTTTTTACTATCTTTATTAAGCTATTATACTCAAAATGATAATTATTTAGTTTTTTATCTAACATTCTAATTTCTTCAGAAAGCATACTATACATCTTCAAATTTTGCTCATCTAGCCCAGATATCCAGGCTATTTTCTCTATACATCTGATAATCTGATCTCTTAAGAACTGTGTACTATTAGATAGATGCTTTTGATCAGTTGCTATTTTCATGATATTTTATATATACAATATTTTGAGTAAACAAAAAAAAAAATTTAATTAACAACATTTAACCTATCTTCTAAGAAATTTATTATTAGTTTTCATTAAAGATATAGAATAGACTTGTCTAATTATAGAGTTCTTCTCTTTTTCATATACTGACTATAGTATATCTCTTAGATGAAGAAGCATGATTGTTGGAACTATGCCTTAATGCTTCACTGGTATAAGTGTTAGTCTTCGATGCATTTTTAGACTCATGCACTATAGAAGCAAATACTGCTTCTAATTTATATAAAGAGCTAGAAAGTAATAGTTTATTACTTTCATAAAAAATTTGGTTTTTTTCAGAAATATACTTAAGTATATAAATTCAAGTTTTTCTAGATCTTTTAACTTCTCAGAAATGATTGCTTTCTAAATCCATGAAAGTAATTCTCTTGCCTGCTCCTTGTTCTTTTTTAGTAATCTAAATACTTAAGAAATATCTTGCTAATCTTAGTTTTTTGCATATTCAGTTACAGCCTTATTAGATATATACAAGTTTTTAATTTTAGCAGAATAAATACAAAGCATTATCATTATATCAGCTAAGGCTAGTTTATTAGGTATAATAGATACATTATATAAATTCAGTCTCTTCTTAACTAATTCTAATAAGAAGTAGTCTAGAAAATTAATTTCTTTATTTTCACATTACTTGTTATACTTATTTTGGACTTTATTAGATAATCTGGTTACCTCTAGATGTAATATAATAGAAACTATTTTTTCTGAAGCATTAATGGCTTACAATTCTCTTCGAAGCCTAAAAAGACAGAATAAAGCAACAACAGAATTAAAAACAGTTTTAACTAAGTTTCTAGATATTGCTTTTATATCTTTTTTACTAAGTTTATCTTTCATAATATACTGAGCCATTTCTTTAATAGTCTCTTTAGAACAAGTATTATTAGATACTTGATATATATTCACTTTTTTGGCTTCTGTTCCATCTTCTTTGAGAGGCATTTGACTTTTGCATCACCCAACTCTTTGGAATGGAATTAATGCAAATGTCTACTTTTTGCTAAAGTTATATCCTTTTATAAAATGATTACAGACTTGGTGCCTTTTCTCTTTATCATCTGTTAAGAGATCAAGTATTTCTGATACATATTAACTAAGTTCTTTGAGACTTATTTTAGTAGTAAGTTTGTAATCTGTAATGAACTTGATTATAATAGCAGATGTAATAAGATATATAAAATATAAGCAGTAGTTAGGTTAATCTATATTTTCAGATTATATATTATAAGAAAAAGTTCAATAAGAGGTGTAGTGACCTAGTGAAGTGGTCAAGTTGTCAACCTCCAAGTGGCAGATCTAGAGTTTAAATTCTATGAATGATAAATTTTAGAAAATAAGGTCTGTGTTATAGTAACTGTCTTTGTCAATCAGTTGAATTTGTGTATTTGTAACCTTTGTTGTACTATCTCAAATGGGAGCTCAGAGCATCTATGCAAAGTGTAACATTACACCAACATAAAGGAATGTTAATAACCAGTATTGTATAAGACTTCAGTGCAAACCCATGATAAGACCATCGAGCATAGAAAGCAAAGGAATCAAAGAGTCAGAAGCCCACTTGGAAATCCTGAGTAAAGAGATAGCATGGACTTTCAACAGTACTATTGAACCATCGGAAGCCTCCCAAAAAGTATTACTAGGACCTCAAATAAATCAGATGACAACATGTATAGAGGAGCACATACCAACCAGGCTACCAGGTTCACCAGATGGGCCATCTGAATTAGTAGTTTGAGAAGTCTTGTGGATCTTGTAGGTTCAGAAGTAGAGGTATAGAAGTTAGAAAAGAAAGGTATTAGGGTTCTTGTGAACTTTACAAAGGTATAACTGTTTAATGGTTAGCCCTGACTGCAAGTGATAGTCTAGGCCAGAGCAGTACTTGGTCAGCTGTAAGTATAGGATACAGAAGGCTCCAGTAGGCTTAGTATAAAGTTAAATATGACTTAGTGATCATGGTATATTTGCAGCAATAGCTGCAGTTAATAGGATAGGGATGGATACAGGAACTAGAGTGTTTAAATAGAGAACCTACAGATGGGTTTTAGGTATGGCAACTAGTGTAGAACTTTGGGCGGACTACTTAAAATAGATAATGACTAAAGTTGTATAAATAGCTAGTTGTATACTCTTTCTATAATTGCCTCTGTAGCTGTTGTACACAATAGTTATATGCCGACTGATTATTAATAAACTCCTAAGTCACAATTACTCACCTTAACATTAAAAAAAAAAAAAAAAAAGTTCAATTGAAAAAAAAATATTCTATTGTTACAAAGTAGATTTTAGTATAGTATATTGTATAGTAGTATTAGTAATTATATATATTCATTATTATATTTTATATTTATTATTAGTTATTAGTTATTAGTTAGTTAATAGTTATATTATATAATAAATAGATAAAAGGATCTTAAT